GAAACTGAAACTCGAACCGATTAAGTTGTTTTTTTCATTTCTTATAACAGGTTCGACCTGTTACCCATCCAATCAGACCTATATCGGGTCAAACGGGTCAAACCCATGAGTTTTTAGGACTAGACCCGATTTATGCCTACCCTTATGTGTATATATTAAAATTCTATATTTAATGCATGGACAATGACCTTTTTATTTTTTATTTCTTCTCTCTTATTTTTGATTCTATTGTTCAAAAGTAGAAGAGTAAAATTGTAATGAGTTTTGTAATTACCAAAAAATTTGATTCCAATAGTGGGATAACAAAAGTTAGCAAACAAACATGATAATGGATATGAAAACCCATAGTAGAGTGCAAAAGTCCCCAATCAAGCACACCCTAAATAAGACCAAATTTAGAACAATATTGTTATAAATATATTATTATGATGGACATTATGGGCATTCAATACATAACTGTTATAACGTTCATCATTAGTATCGTCATTATTATTTGTACATTATATATGCTTGTTGTAACATTGTATTGAGTTGGCTTGTGCAATGGAATGACTCTCCTTGTCTCCAGGGCTGGATTTTAGGCTGTGCAAGCTGGGCTACTGCACAGGGCCCCCAATTTTAGAGGCGCCCCAAACTTTAGAGGTCCAATATTTAATTTTTACCTAACTAGTTTCGAAATAAAAATTAAAAGTTTTCAATTAAACTTAAATGGTTTTATGAAGAGATGGTAAGAATGTGTATTTATTGTATTTTAACTTGGAGGTCAAAGGTTCGAAACTTGCATGTATTATTTTTAAAAATTATGATTTTGGTAGGGCCACATTTATTTACCAGAACAGGGCCACCAAAACTTAAAATAAAACCCTGCTTGTCTCTTGTTCTACCTCTCTTTGTCTCGTAGTTGCATTTATCTATATTGATCCAATCCTACAATTCACCGGTTAGGAGCTAAAGGCCAACGGGCACAAATAGCATTACAACACGTTATCAGCAAGCTCTTTCGGTGAACGATATGCTATATATATTGATGTTCTTACAAATTATTAATCTGTGCATAATTTGTTGTTAATTCGACATATACTCTGTGTGATTAAATTATATGCATACATCATTTTCTGCTGGATAAATATTCTTAATTTATAGATGTTCGAAACTGAATCATTATTCTATGAGTATTTTTGAGACCATAAACTGAATATCTTGCATACAATGTTTTTCTGAAAAATTCAAATATTGTATTGTTTTTCAAGTATATTGTACTAAAACTGAAATCCTTCTTGTATTTACTGTACGAAAAAACATACTCTCTGGAAATTAAGTTTGTATAATACTTCGTCTTTTCTGGCAAAGATAACTCTACCTTCCCCCGACGGCGGAAAACAAGAAAATTTTGATGAAAGAGAAACTTTTGCTTTATTGTTTTACCTTTATCATCACCCGTTTGTTTAATAAAATTTTTCTCCAATATGTTTAAACAAATCAGTATGTATCAATATTTTTTTTGAAAAACAAATTATTTTGAAATATACATAAGTTTTTCGAAAAAAGTAGAGAATACCTTCCGGATTACAATGTGTATGTTTGTTGTCTCTTCCGCCGGAGATCCGTGGTCCGGGCGGCTGCCCATTCCGATGGGTGTTGAATGGCGCGGGTAGGTGACGGTGATGGCGGCGTTGGCCGTCTCAGCGACGCTCCTCAGAGAGGTTGCCGCTACCGTTCACGACGTTCCGGCTCAGGGAGGGTGTGGCGACGGTGGATCAGAATATATAAACATCGAAATGATCTATCTCGACAACCACATTCATATGATCATAATTTTGGCCCAGCAGCAAATATGCTTCAATTGTTGGTGAAAAAGGCACTGATCACGTGCATGCCACACCCTGAAGCATTTTGTTGAAACCTAAAGGAACATCACAATGTTGAATCCAACTAAGTTGCCTTGCCTAAAGCAAGCGCTCTTGTTGGTCATATTGATGACCTACCTTTTCATTAAACATCTTTTCAATGATGTTTTTTTTTTTTATGATCTTTATACAAACATCTAACTTCTTCCTGCAATTATTGATAAGTGTTTTCTTTGTGGGCTCCGGTAGAGCTTCACTTTTACTCTATTAATTTCAAAGACTCTTAATCAATTCTTTTTCATGACAAAACCAGAAATGTTCATAAATTCAAAATGCCTTATCATTCCCTACTTTGATCAAATATCATTCATCTGATGAGTAGACATATGTTACTCGTTCTTCATTATCTAAAAAGACGGATATGATCTAGTATCTTATAGATAATGCCTCTTTTTCGGATTATCCTATGAACTTCGTCCATTTTTCGATGATTATTATATGACATTGAGCATTAAGGCGGAGTATCAAGTACCTTATGCTCATACCCAAATGGTTTAGCTAATTAATAAAGTTATGACTTATTGCTAAACCATTATTTTTCAAAATTCCAATGTGTCGGATACTTGGTGGGGAAATGCAATATTTATGCTAAAAATTTCGGCACACTGCATATCCTTATTCCCTCTTACATCTAATACGTGGTTTTCAACCAAACATTTCCCAAATCTGCGTTTCTATTCTTATGAGTGCAGTCCAAACTATTACATAACCACCATAATGTATCCATCTAAACTTCCATCTGTTGTCTCCAATATTTAAAGCCCCTAAAAGAGACGTCATGGATACGCTGATTGTATGAAGATCGGTTCACCGCATTAGGGGGAGATATGATCAAATTTAAATAGAATGCCGAGAAATCTCGTGAAACGAAATGATCTTCAAAAATTAAATTCACGTACCAATCAGGAACTAGAAGTTCAGAAAGAAATCTGCCAAATAAATCTACTTCATAAAAAGAGTGACTAGGTCCTATACACTTTCCCCAAAATTGGACCATATATATCTATCGATACTCCTTGACGCCAGAAGTGCGGGAGATTTATTGGTATAGAAAAATAAAGAATCCACAAACTACTAGATCTAGTAAAGAATCTTTGTCACTCTTGAAAAATCTTAAAAAGTTATATCTTTATGACGATCGTCCAGACAACGAGAAAACCCAGTAAATTTATAGGTGCACCAAATAATAATAATACTGGATTGCGAAACAACCAGATATAATATCCTTGGAAAATGGCTATAATCTGGTTAACTTTGAAAATTACTTTTAGATATATATGAGAGAAATTATTGAAAAATGTTATAAGTTGTCGACAACACAATTGCCTTCAAAATTGCTCATATTATATGACAATCTGGATACAGAGCTAGGTGTCAGATTGCCAGAAGCGCCTAAATTGATTAACGTATAAAGAGAGCAATTAAAGCCATATATAGCTCAACTTGCTAATATATTCATTTTATACACCATTGAGGTATTAACCCTATAGGTTACAAATGATGTTTGTATAAAGGAAAAACAAGAATGACAAGGTGGTGAGATATAAAGCGAGTCTGTAGCCTAAGGGTTCACGCAGAAACCCATAATTAAGTATACTCTCTCATGATGAATATCATTAAAAGTTCCGCTACATAATTGGTAGAATAATAAATTTAGATATGCAAATTTTTAAAGTCATGACCTAGAAATTATGGTCATTAGACACTAATGTTTATCTGAAAAATCCTTGATAGATTTATAATTCTCAAAATGAAAGAAAGTAAATATCACAACATGTTTGTTGTTGAAGTACAAATGCTTTACTAAGAAATTGATTAAATAATTTCCTCTTAAAATAAGAAATTATAGAAATGAATATGTACCATTAGGTACTTATTAAGGGGCTTATTATAAAATAAAGGAGATGGAAAATCAAGTATTATCTCGACCTGTAGATTGAACATTTCCTTAAAAGAAAGTTCACATACTAATTAGTCTATGTCCAAATAATCTCCCGAAGTAGATAAAGGACCATTGAAGAGTGAGAACTGAGAAGGGTCGAGCTCAAAATTATAAAAAGAGTTCTACTCCATGTACTTCCAATTCTACTCTATCAATTTTACTCTATAATGTGACAAACAATAAAATAATATTTTCATCATGTAAGTCTCAAAAAAAAGGTGTCTATATCAATTATTTGTGAAAAGGAGTAAAAGTTAGGCGTAAAATGTGGAAGTCAATTCCCCATGTAATATTTTTCTTATAAAAATAGATAAATCCAAAAAATCCAAAGGCAACTCACACTTCACTTAGAGCATCCCCAATAAGGGAATTTTCATCACATTTTAAAATAGTAAAATCTTCATGAGATAGACTTTGACAAATGGGAAAGCAAAATCTTCACCACATTTTTCTCCTGCAATTCAAAAAATTATGTCAGAAAATTAAAATAAAAAAATAATAAATAGACGTTTTAACTGGCGGCCACTCTGAAATTAAATTTATTTGGCCTTTGGCCTTTGGCCGTTGCTGGACAACGGCCAATTTTCCGGCCAATGCTGTGCCGTTGCAATTGCAACGGCACAGCACACATTATTTTTCTTTTTAATTTTTTTTTTCTGTTAATAATTGTTTTTTATTTTGATTATAAGTTTCGAATAAAAGTTTGTAATTTTTATGTACAATTCATTTATGTTTATTATAAAATTATAAAATAATAAATTTATAAATCAAATAAATAAAGAAATAATTAAAATATGTAGATAAAATGGTGGGTCCACAAAAAGTTGTGAAAAATTTAAAACTAATGAGAAGAAGAGATTTTGTGATTGAGTGAGATAGTGGATGATAAGGTGGATGTTGGGACCCACAAAATTTTGGGATAAAATTCTCAACTATTGAGGATGCCCCGCATGATTATATTTATTAATGAGTTAATGTAGTACGTGGGTTGACCCAAGCCACTGCATGTGAATGATAACGTGTCCTTCTCGAAATTCATCTTCTATTCCCCATGCTGCATCTAATCCATCAAGCGTCATCTGCCAACCGCCACATGTCTCGAAATTCAATAAGCCGCCATTGATGGGAATGCCCACCTCCCTTATTTATCTGCTTGGAAAACCACCATCCCCATCCTCGCCGTGTATACTAAAATACTCAACAAACACACATCAGATCGAATTGAAGAAAAGATCAAGAACGTACGAAGCTGCTAATTAAGCCATGATGACAACTTTGGTAGTAGAAGAACCAATTCTATGTAGACTCCAACGCCTTGACAACGTCGTAAGTACAACACCCTACCCAAAATAATCAAACGTTAGTTTTATAGTTATTATTATTGGTAATTGATATATTAGTATAAATACTGCCGTTTCTCATATTATTAAAGGATAATTTGGTCTTCACATCGCATATCTTATACTCTCATGAATCATTAATACAAAGTTTTGTCTTTCCTACTTAATATTTTGTCTTTATTATTTATTCTTTAATCCCTAACTCACTTTGTGACTTGTGATCAATTGGTCACAATTGAGCTGCCTATGCAGTAATTATTTAACTATTGATTTATGAGGTGCTTGTTATTAGGCTATTAGCTGATTAGTTACTAAATTTGAATAGTTAATTTTATTATATAAAAGTGTTTAAATTAGCTATTAGTTAATTATATACACAATGATTTTTTAAAAATTAATAGAAAAAAATTATTTTGAACAATTTTTTAAAATTGTAATATTTTTTAATAATAAATTGTTATAAAAAATTAATTAATCAAATACTTATATTAATTCTTTAATCAAATCAAAGAATTAATAATATCAAATAAGATAAAATTAATTGATAAACTAAGTATGTTACCAAACACGATCTTAATTAATTGACACTATTGAGTTAATTTATTCAGTCAATTGATTTTTTTATAAATTAATCAACATAATAATTAATACGACAGCTTAAACAAGTAGAGGCACTGAGAGGCGGCGGCGGGAATCAATCTCCGGCGAAGAGCTCCACAGCGTCGTCGTCTACGGCGACAAGCAGCGAAGGGCAGGCGGCGGCGACATCGTGGTCCGCCGAGTTTTCTCCGAAAAGCTTGGAGAAGCATTGCCGTCCGATTGATGATGTGATAATGGAGGCAGAGGCGAAAGGCACCCTGATTGAAAGGCTGGTGAACGTAGAAGAGCGCGTGGCCAAACTCTGCAATTACCTCCACCAAGAATTGGAGGCTTTCAAGACCACTAAAGAGGCCACCATGCACACCACCACGACCACCATCGCTCCGTCGTCTGCGGCGGCGGCGCAAAAGTCGCCGAAGAAGGGTTTCAAGAGCTTGGTGAAGTCTTGTGTGAAAGGGAAGGCAAAAGGAAGAGGATAATGCAATATTGCATGTATGTATGTATGTATTTTTTTTATTTTTTTTTTTTTGGATGAGCTATCAGCTCGATCACGGTTAGGCCTGATCTTTAAGTCAGGCTAGTCATGATCTTTAGGTCGGGGCGACCTAATTATGTATGTTTTAGTTTGGACTAATTCCAGTCTTAATTTCTAAACTATATATATTTGGTCCTCTTGAATTGCCTTTTTTTTCGAAATAAAAATTTACCATCTTATATTTTGTTGCAAACCGAAAACAAAGCATATATTAATAAAAGTCCGCAAATTATGCACTGGAAACGTGTTCACCGTGAATGTGGAATTAACGGCGCGCGTTTGATCAAATTATGAATTTTTTGTTATGAGATTATGAATGTAATGTAAATTCATAATTTCATAACAAAAAATTCATAATCACATAAAAGTAAAATATTTATTAAATTATGAATTTTCTGTTATGAGATTATGAATGTAATGTAGATTCATAATCTCATAATAGAAAATTCATAATTTCATAATAGAAAATTCATAATCTCATGACAGAAAATGCATAATCTTATAATTAAAAATTCATAATCTTATAACAGAAAATTCATAATCTCATGGTTCCAACGTGAATGTGTAGGTAAGGTTCCAAAGTGAATATGCAGGTATAGACTCATAATTTATGAATGTCCGTGATTCTGGACAGGAATGTGTAGGCATGGTAAATGTGCAGGCATGAATTTATAATTTATGGATATCCGAAATCATTGTTCACCTCAAATTAAAGTGAAATCGCGAAATGTGAAAATGAAGAAGAAAAGTCACGCAATTAATTAAGAAGAAAAAAAAAAAAAAAGATAACGGCAGGGTTCCATGGCATAACGATTGATAAAAGTCCTGCCCAAGAGCATGGACAATGGAACAAAACGGGATTGACAAGCAATCCTCACAGTCAGATTTGGACAAAGTCTTCCAAGCTAATTAATACATGGACAAGTTTATTCGCAGATCGTTTTACAAACAAAAAGTTAAGATTAAAAAGTCATTAGTTAGTCTTTTAACATCATGGACAATAAGATCAGTCTAATAAAGAAATCAAATGACGAATACAAGATAGTACAAAAGAACATAAAAATCAGTCTAATAATTGTGGCCCGAGCAAGTGAATGAACAAATAAATTGGTTGATTTATGCCCACATATAGCAAAAGAACACTGAGTCAAAGTACCTAACAAGGGTTTGGCAATGAAATATAATGCATCTTGCATATGAGAGATCAAGATGATTTGTTGAGAAGATTATAAACATTGAGCGTTGTGGACAATTATATGTTGAACACTGAGTCAACCGGCAAATAATGTTGTGCATCCGTATAGCACTCATTAAGCGTTGTGGACAATTATATATATATATATATATATATATATATATATATATATATATACAAAGTATATATATGGTATATACAATAGATATACACACAGTATACACAATGTTGAGATTAACGAGAACAAGAAAAATAATAATGGCGGAAAGTAAAGAAGACAAGATTTACGTGGTTCGGCAATGTGCCTACATCCACGGGAGTGAAAGTATTCTCTTATTATTTGTGATGGTGATAGTGGTGCCACGACCCTTTAGGGATACAACCAATATATTTATAGGCATCCAATCCCGGCATCCAATCCCTATACAATAGGTCTACCCGTTTCACTCCTACTCCTAGTATGAGACAAACACTTATTCCTAATCCATATATGAGACAAACTCAACACACAATATATATACACACAATATACATAGTATATATATAATATATACACAGTATACACAATATATATACATAGAGTATACACAGTATATTGTATATATATATAATATATATACACACAGTATAAAATAGTATATATTTACACAGTATACACATTATATTTATACACAGTATACGTTATATATATATATATATACAATATACAGAATATATATAGTGTATCTATATCACACACACACACAGTTTATACTATACATACAAAGCATGAGGATTGGAAAATGACTTCCCCAAAACATACTTATTTTCCATTGACTACAACATTATTCTCCGTTGACCTCATTTTCCTCCTCCTTGTCAAACACTGAAAACTTGAAAAACATTTTGCAGAAGTCATTTTTCGGGTTTCCAAACGCACCCTTAAAGTATTTTCCCTTCATTTTCGAAATTCGAATGGGTCTATTTGAAAATCAATTTATCATTCACCACTTATCCGTTTTGAGCGTACAATATATATATCAATCTCTTCGTCTCACCACGGAGAACCCAAATCCACTTTGACCCTACCCAAATTGAAAGTGGATCCCACTAATATTTGCACCACAAATTAAAATAGTCACTTAAAATATCATTTTATGTTATTTTTTCAACAACTTCCTCCTCACGAACCTCTTCACATCGTGACTTGGTGTGTGATAGCAGAGTTCTACTATCACGAGCTCCTTCACGGAGTGACACAACTTGTGAAAACTTCATCATCCGGTTTTCCACCTATTTTTGTCCATTTTGCTTCAAATTGTCGTTGATATATATGATCATTTTTGCCATCAAAATAAGACATTGGTCCCAATTAGCTCCTCCTACACAATTTATATGACATAATTATATTGGTCACTTTAAACACAATTAAAGCAATTTTAATCTAAAATTGACCAATTAATACACCACAAAAATAGTAAATTTTATCACTCATCACTGTCCACCGAACTTATCATGCTAAAATTTTTTTATCCTAACCCTAAAAAAAGTTCTTTATTATGAGATTAATCCATTAGTTCCGTGTTAAGATTGACATTCATATACAACGTATTTGGATAGATGAGGCAATTGTACTTGCTTTGCAAAAACTACAGTAGACAAAGTGCAGCGAATGATTTTCCATTTTGTATGGGATGTTAAAGTTTTTAAAGAACATACAACGCATCATGTTCAGAAGTGCGCATGATTGATCTCATCCCCATCCCGTTGGTTCCCTTTAAGGGGAGCTAGATAAGGAAGCTGAGTTGAATGTCACTATCCACCAAAGAGAGATTGTGAGTTTGCATGGGGACCTTAGCTTCAACATTTATAACCTTCCATCCCCATATCCATCCAGGGCCGGCCCTGGGGCAAGGGCAGGCTGGGCCCTTGCCCAGGGCCCATGCTTGGGCGAGGGTCTTATCCTATCTTTATATATGTATTGAGTATAAGTAATTTCTCAATTGTTATGTGTTGGACCCGTGTCCAGCATGCTTGCTGGACACGGGTAACAGTGCCGTTAGGCACTGTTATCTCATTTTTTTTTTTTTTTTAAATTTTAGACCGCTTCATTGTAAGAGTATATGTTCATAATTTTATTACTATATGTTAATAACTATACATTCATAACTCCATAACTATACGTTCATAACTCTATAACTGTACATTCATAACTCCATAACTGTACATTCATAACTCCATAATTGTACATTCATAATTTTCGAAGCTCTATGTTCACAATTTTAGAGCTCTATGTTCATAATTTTATCACTATATGTTCATAATTGTAAGTTCATAATGTTAGAGCTCTTTGTTCATAATTCGATCAATAACTGTACATTCATAATTCCATACTGTAGATTCATAATCTCATAACTGTAGATTCATAACTCCATAACTGTAGATTCATAACTCTATAACTGTCTATTCATAACTCCATAACTGTACATTCATAATCTTCGAAGCTCTATATTCACAATTTTAAAGCTCCATGGTCATAATTTTATCACTATATATGTTCATAATTGTAAGTTCATAATGTTAGAGCTCTGTGTTCATAATTTCATAATTGCATAACTGTATATTCATAACGGCATAACTGTACATTCATAACGACATAACTGTACATTCATAATCAAAAAATAAAAAATAACGCCGTTAACGGAAAACGCGCGCGAATTTTTTTTTTTTAACTAAATAACGCGTTTTTTTTATTTTAAAAACGACGTCGTTTTGGGCCCGTGTCCACAATTCAATGTGGACACGGGTCCAGGGCATAATTTGCCGTAATTTCTATATATATGTTTTATAGTAAGGTGAATTAGCTTGTTGGTAAGACACTTGAATTTCAACTTCATTTAATCAAAGGCCCATGATCATATCTTTTCCTTCACATTTTAGAATTTCTCAACTTTACTTCTTTGCTTATATTTTAAAATTTATTTTTATTGATTTTTTGTGTTTAATATGGAGTAGTATTTTTAATGTAGTTTTTAAATATATAAATTTTCATTTATTTATATTAAACATATTATGAAATTTTTTTATATTAAATATATAAAATTTTATATTAAATTTTTAATGCAATTTCTAAATTTATAAACTTCTATATACTTATACTAATTATGAAAAATTGAATTAAAAAAAACTCCAATCAACTCATGTTAACTAAACAAGATACGTAGGACAAAGGGAGTTATATGATATATTTTGAGATTGAATTATAAAAAAAAATTAAAAGATAATTTTCTCCGTACCTTTTTATGAATATCTAATCAATGTAATATATAAGCTTCTATCATGTGTCATTATATGTATTCAAATTATTCTTAAAAAAGTTTAAAATTTATCTATTTAAAAGAAAAATTATTTATAAAAATCATATAAATAATATAGAAGATGTGTGATTTATAATATGCTTTATGTTCAAACTATTTTATCTAGATAATTATATTTCATATCTTTTTGCATTTTTTATTACGTTTTGAAATATTTTAATTTCTTGCTCCTAGTCAAAAAAAGATTTTTAGCTTTCCATATGTTTGTAATTATTGTTTTATAAATTTTTAATAATAATTAATTTATTATTTATTATGATAAATATTATTATTTATAAGTTTACTCGATTTTAAATTATTTATTTATTTTTATAAACATAATATTATTTATTTATGAAGGCACTTATATGATTGTTTATTATTTTGCATTAAGGAAAGCACCTAGAAATTTTTTTCATGATTATTGTTGTGTATGTAAAATTGTTAAAAACTTGTTAATCTTATTTAAAGTTATTGACATTAATAATTTTTTTCCTTATCTAATTAAATTTTAGACATGAAATATATATTAATTGAGGCCCATTTTTTTTTATCCTGCCACACACCTATAAAATGATAGGACCGACCCTGT